CTACTGTCTGAATTTTTTTCTGAGCCATGGGTTGGTTGGTTGGTTGGTTTTTGTTTTGACTATCACTTCCGTGACAAAATCATTTTACAAAACAATTTAACATATGTATGTTTACTGTTGAGATCGAGTTTCCACGACAAATCACTTCCCCTTTCTCCTTGTGATATACTCCAGTAATTCCATTTTCTGTTAATATAGTTCCCACAATAATCTGGCCATGACCCATTAAACTGATGTAATAACTATTTTTAAAACACCATTTTGAGACAAGTTCTGGTCTACAACTTGACTTCCAAGGTCCAAGGTCTTTTATGTCTCTGTTTCTCTCTCTCTCTCTCTCTCTCTCTCTCTCTCTCTCTCTCTCTCTCTTTTAGGTTTTTCAGGAGAGGGTTTGTCTGTGTAGCCCTGGCTGTCCTGGAACTCACTCTGTAGACCAGGCTGACCTTGCAGAAATCTGCCTGCCTCTGGCTCCCAAGTGCTGGGATTAAAGGCGTGTGCCACCACCGCCGTGCTCTGTTCTCCTCTCTTAAGTTCCAGAATCTTTTCTTTTTCAATCAGTTAAGTTGATGGCCTGTTTAAAGTTTGCTTGTGTGCATTTACCCATTGCCATTCTACATGACTTCAAGGCTGCACCTTTAGTCGTGGGCATCCAGACCCTGCAGTCCACCCATCTGGCTCCTGGCCTAATGTGGTCAGTCCACAGTTCCCACCTGACAGAGATGAGAAATTTCACACAGCATGAAATTTGTCTTTATATCCCACAAACGCTGAAGGCTATCATTTAAAAAGGAAGACCTTGCTTTAAGTCAGTGGTTCTCAACCTAGGGGTCGTGACCTCTTGGGGGGGTTCACATAGCAGATATCCTGCATATCGGATATTTACATCGTGATTCATAACAATAGCAAAATTACAGTTTTAAAATAGCAACGAAAATAATGTTATGGTTGGGGGTCACCATAGCATGAGGAACTGTGTTAAAGGGTCGCACCGATAGGAAGGCTGAGAACCGCAGCTCTAAGCACTCCCAGGGAAAGCAGCCATCGTTGACGCCTTCACTTCCCCTAGTGTCTGCTCTTCTCTCCACTCTCAAGAGGAGGAAGTCTCTGCCTTCCCTGTGGTTGCACCTCAAATAGAGCTGTGGTCCCCTCGCTCTGGTTTAACGCTGCTTCTTATCTCTTGCAGAGGATCTCGCCTGCTTTGCTTGAAGTTTTAGAATATAAAAGCCGGGGCGATTTTGAGATCAGAATGGTGTAATGCTTTCAATTTTATTTAGGGGGGAAAATGCATGCCAGAGAGACAAATATTCTACAGTGACCTACATGATCCGTTAACAAAGCTGGACTGGAAACCAGCTCCTCAAACTTGGCCGTTCCTCTTGGTTTATGGTACCCTTCTCATCTACGCTTTATGATATGTTCCCTCAGCTATGTGTTATGCTGTTGTGTGGCTAGTTCCTACGAAGCACCCATTCTTTCCTTCTCTTAGTTAGGACTCTATCGCTACAAAGAGATACCATGACCAAGGAGACTCTTATAAAGGAAAACATTTCATTGGGGCTTTACAGTTCAGAGGTTTAATTCATTATCGTAATATCAGGAGGCATGGTAGCATGCAAGCAGATATAGCGCTGTGAGAGTTCTACACCTAGATCCACAGGTATCATGAAGAGATAGTTACTCTGGGACTGGCTTCTGAAACCTCAAAGCCCACCCCCCTGTGACCCACTTCCTCCAACAAGACCACGCCCACTGCAACAAAGCCACACCTCCAATAACGCCTGAGCCCATGAGGACGGTTTCATTCAAATCACCACACTCTTGGGTAGAGTCTCAAGAGGGTGAGGAAGCTCAGACTGTTTGTTACAGGGCTTGGGAGACTCCTTCCCCAGGTTATAAAAACAGTAAACATTGGCTAGGAGGTGAGGAGAGTTTTGGTATAGTTGCCTGCAAGCTGGTCCAGGATCTCCAGGGATGCAAACTTTGTGAGTCCTCATGAATGGTCCATGGGTTTTGGCTGATGCAGCATCCCGAAGTCATCCGTGATTCTGTACACAATCCGTCACCCCTGTAAGAAACCTCAGGAGGGCCTAAATGCCTTTAATCTCAGCACTCATGAGACAGAGGCAGGAGGATGTCTGTGAATTAAGACCAGCCTGATTTACAGAGTGAGTTCCAGGTCACTCCATAGTGAAACCTTGTCTCAAAAAAACAAAACAAACAAAAAAAAACAAAGCAACAACAAAAACAAACAAAAAAGCCCCAAAACAAACAAACAAAAAACACCCAATGATAAATAAAGTAAATAATAATAGAAAATAATTCCCTCCAAAACTCCACAAACACTGACTTAGATGAATAGTTATTTTTTGTTTGTTTGTTTGTTTTTTTTGTTTGGTCTGTTATTGGGGCCCTATCTGGGGTAAAAAGACATTTGTTCACATTTCCCCTAGGAAAAGTCACACAGGACAGTTGGTGTCTGAAGAGGGACAGAACCAAAGATGAGTGAGGGTTTGCTACACAGCCCTGAGATGCGGATAAAGAGTTCAAATAAAGTTGCTACATCAGAGGTCATATGAGGGCAAACCCAAAGGCATATCCAAAATGGCTACCTCTCCCCGTGTGATATGGGATTGGATACCTCTTTGCAGCAGTAGCAGTTGTGTGCACCCTAGTGTTGCCGATCAGTCACGTGATCAAGGTTGAGTCATCTGAGGGGGCAAGCATCTTTGTGGTCATACCAGGGTGGGCACCTTCCTCTGTGTGGCGCATGATGGCACAAGTCCTCGATGAATGTGGTCTAGTGTTTGAGCACAGAGATGCAGGCGGTGTCCCATGGATTCCAGAATGTACTACATTTGTTGGAAGTAGTCTCAGATAGAATGGAGGCAGAAGCGGCTGAGGTCATAGTTGCGTGCCCTTTGCTGTGGGTAGCAAGGCGTACAGGAACATGTAACCGAGGCTTGGCTGTCTGCTCAGAAAGAGCACCCTCTTGTAAGTTGTAGTAAAGGGAATTACAAGATGAAGAGACGGATGACAGCCTTTAGTTTATCCTTTTGTTTGACAGGAAAAAGCAGCAACAAGAGAGGATGAAGTAAAAGCACGGTTGGCTTTTCTTGTAGCGTGTAGCATTCAAGAGAACGAGACCCCAAACTGAGTGGGTGCTCAAAGCCCTCCTTGGGACCCCCCAAACTTAGAATCTCTGAGACGAGGCAGACAGCAAGGAGGAAAACAGAGAGGCAGAAATATTAGCGGACACCTCCAGGCCTGACATTTACCACAGAGGAAGAGAATCCTGTGATTCAGCTTGCAGGCAGGAGGTTTAGTAGTGACTCAGAACAGGAAACTATGATAGTCAGGGCATCTTTCTGTCTCTGAATTACCTGGACCAGGAAAGGCTTAAATAAGTGAAGGAGTCCCTCATAGCCTAGTTCATGAAGGTGTGAGACATAGGGAAGGGGTGGAGTGGGGGGAGAGGGGTCCCGGTGTTGCAGAAGCAGAGGCATTGAGTAATGTTAAGTATTCACCCACGCTTGAGACAAGGGCTGCCCAAAGTGAGGTGACATGAGAGGACAAGTCCCTGGTGTACTGGCTCATATGAGCCACTGGCTCAGGTCCCGTGTATATCAGCGACGCAAAGACAATAGAGCAGAGGTTCTCAACCTTCCTGATGCCGCGACCCTTTAATATAGTTCCTCGTGTTGTGGTGACTCCCCCATCATAAAATTATTTTTGTTGCTACTTCGTAACTGTGATTTCGCTACGGTTACGAATCGTAATGTAAACATCTGTGATTTCTGATGGTTTAAGGTGAACCCTGTGAAAGGGGTATCCTCAAGGGGTCGCGACCCACAGGTTGAGAACCACGCGGTAGTCATTGCTGGGAGAATCGGGCATTTAAAGGGAAGTGTCTGAGACCCAGGAAACCAAGCCTGATAGATAGGACTTGGTTCACAGGAACGTTAACAAGTTAACAAGCTCTTAGATATGGTATAGGGATTTACCTAGCACTGTGGGATGTGATCTTTATGTACTAGGAGGGTCTGTGATTAGATAACCTGTAAGTCAGGTTCCTAAAGACGGGGGATATCAAGAAGAGAAAAGCAGACAAAGGGGCCTATCTGGATAACTCAAAAGTGAATGCGGCAAGATTTGCATGGAGCCCAAGTATCCAGGTTGGGGGGGAGTGGGGAAGACAGAAAGTCAGTCAGTGAGTGCTTGTAAGACTGCGGACGGCTTTAAACTATTAACAACAGTTTCCCAAATTGGTGAGACGGAGAGCGAATGACAGAGAAAGATGCAAAGGACTAAGTTTGGCTCACAGGTGTGCGATGATCGATCCCTACAGCTTGTTATGTTCATGATTTACCTGGGAGTAGAGATTGTTCATTCAGAAGACGAAGGCCCTACTGGCAGCCGGGTGTGGCCAATGAAAATTTCGCAGCTCAGCCAGCCGCAGAGCTGCCCTAGTGCCGGTCATATCTGGGATCGAAGCCCACGCCTCCTTAGTCCCAGGCCTTGTAGATGAGTGTAAACCCAGCCCTGCTGTGTGTTTTGGAAGGGAGGAGATGCAGCAAGACCCGGAAGGGATAAAGAAACAGGGTAGCTGGTGCGGAATGACTACAGCCTATAGAGAGTCAAACAAAATAGTACCCCTCTCCTTTTACACAAACACACACACATACACACACACACACACACACACACACGTACACACTCCCCGCATCTGTGTAGCCGAACCTAACGTTCTTCTGAGAAAAGGTCTGATGCAAGTGATGGGGACTTTGCTAATGTCTGTCTGTCCTCTGCCCTTCCTCCACCCCACCTCTCATTTCTTTCCCTCTCTCTGTTGATCCGACTGGTTTGGGGTTTACAGTGACCCTCCGGCTTCTATCTCCCAAGAGCTGAAACTACAGGCACGCGCAGCCCGCTTAAGCCTTTCCACGCGTTCTTTCATCTCCCAAACACTTCCCAGATGCAAATACAAAAAAATACAAAAAGCACGGGGTGTTTAGTGGAAATTTTTGTTGTGATTTTTGGCAGTCCTCTATCTGCTCGGTATCTTTTGGCAGCGACAGGAATATTTTCCTTCGGGGCAATTGCTTGTCACTCGGTTCCATTCTGGCTTGGCTGGTAACGGAGAGGCCCTGCTCACCCCTGCTACACTGCAGACCAAACTGTAGGACTCACCTAAAGGGGCGCCACCCTGGAACCTGATCTCACCGGGCCACTCAGAGACTAAAGAGTGTTCACTTATTCCAGTAGTAACACCAGAGACTGTGACACTTCTGGTGATACAGGCCTTCTAGGGATCTTGGGTGGTTTTTGTTGTTGTTGTTGTTGTTTGTTTGTTTTTTCCTGGGCCTGATTCTTTACTTTTCTCTGAGGGTTCTGAGCCCTTGCATATCCTTCTAGTAAATTTCCGTTTTCATCAAATTAGTCAAAGTAGACTAGCAACCTTATATTTTCTTGTCCCGTTACTGTGATAAAACTCCCTGACCAGAGCAGCTCAGGGAAAGAGAGGATGTAATTATGTTCACAGTTCTGAGAGAAGCGCTTCATGGTAGCGAGGAAACCAAAGGCCGTGTGGTCGCGCTGTATCTGCAGAGAAGCAGAGAGCTACCAATGCTCTGTCTCAGCTCTTCTGTGTAGGCCATCTGGGATCCGGGACACGAGCGGTGCCGCCCACATTCGGGGCGGAGCTTCTCACTTCGGTCAACTCAATTTCAAGAATGCTTCACGGACTTGCTCAGGGGCCATCCCGAACGAGATGATCTCTCTCTCACAAGCAAGCCCAGAGACTTGTGTCCTAGGTGAACCTAGGACTTCTTGAATCTGTAATGTTAATTGCAAACCTTAATTGACATGATGGGCAGTCTTACCTAGGAGTTTCAATCAATTCTTTTCATAAAGACTGTAATAAGGGGCATGCCAGTAAATATTCGTTCATCAGTGCCGGGCGTGATGGAGGCAGAGATGGGCAGATCTCTGTGAGTTTGAGGCCAGCCTGGTCTACAAAGTGAGTTCCAGGACAGCCAGGGCTACACAGAAAAACCTTGTCTCGAAAAACCGATATGAACTGATATATCTTCATACATACATGAAAAAATAAATTCATCACAGGATGCCGAGTAAGATGCTCGTGACTGTCATGCAGGCTATCTACCCCTCACATCTGTACAAATAGAGATGGACAGCTGTTTTATTTTGGATTGAAATACCAGGTGGGCAGCTATAACACCATACTATAGAGCAGGCAACTTACAAACATCAGAAAGTCATTCCTTACCTTCTGAAACCTAGAAGTCTCAAGATCAAGTTTACAGACACTGATCTGGTGCGCCCCTAGTCTCTGGCCGTGGACAGCTAGCTTCAGCTCTCCTGAGTTGTGTTTATTAGGTACTAATATACTCAGAGTGGCTCTGCTCTCAGGAACGTATCACCTTCCAGAGACCCCACCTCCAAACACCACCACACACTGGGCAGTAGTAACCTTGGATGGGTAAGGTCTGGCATCAGAGACATCCTGCATATTGTGCTAAGGGTAGGTAAATTAACTAAGTTCATACAGTTTGTAATTGGCAGAACTGGACATTGAATCCACTGAAAATCCTGTGGTTCCTCCATTACATCCGTTAGTTCTTCCTCCTCCCCCCCCCCCCCGGAATATTTTTGTTGGGAATCTAAAGATATTGAATAAAACTAAATATGTTCTTTAGATAACAAATTATCATTTGTTTAGAAGATTTAGGATATGTATATATATGTATGTATACATATTTATTTACATAGAATATATTTTATATGCATTTACATGTATGTATTGTATCTATTTATAATCTATATTTAGGATATTTTCACTTAGTATCATAGGAAGTATATACATGATCCATTACAGCGTTCCAAAAGATTTATGGAATTAGAGTGGTTGGTAACCATAGATATTAATCAATTCAGCTTTCTAGTCTTACGGATACAAAACAATGGAGTCCAACAGATGTTTATGTTGTCAAGCTGTACTGAAGTTACTGTGTGTGGATAATGAGGTTTAGATCCGAACCAATTTAGCTTAGTCACAAGACAGGTGGGACTGGTAAATTTACATAGCGCAATTAAGAGCTTCCAGCCAGAGGGAGCCTCCAGGTTTCCTCTAACAATGTATCCATCTGCCTCTGGCTGGGACGCTGACAATCTCAGCACACCGTCTTTTTCTTTACAGCCCACAGAGAAGATTTTTCAATCACTTCCTTTGTGAAGCACTGAGCGACAGTCGCACTTCAACCTAATGACACTTTTACATGCAAATGTCGAGCACTTTAGATGTCTGTTTAAAAACTAATATATTCTATTTAAAGGCATTTCAGATTGTTATTTGGTAACCAGAAGCCACCTTCCAAGCAAGCAGAAACCTTGCAGGGGGAGGGAGGGGGGTGCATTATATGACCCTGGGTATGTTTTCATAGTTAGAAATAACGCTAGCCTTGGGCTTCCGGAAAAAAATACATCCTGTGAAAGATGGCTGAGTGACTCAATGTTTTCTTTAACTGGGAGGAGAGTGGTGGTAGTGGGGGGTGTTCCCCCACAGTGGGAGCTTGTTAGGTTTAGCTTGGGGTCTACCACAGTGGAGCTCAACACAGCAAACTTTTGTTTGTTTGGACAGGGTTTCTCTGTGTAGCCCTGTCTGTCCTGGAACTTGCTCTGAAGACCAGAGACTGCCCTGGAACTAACAGAGAGATCAGCTTGTCTCTGCCTTAGGCATGCTGGGATTAAAGGTGTGGACCACCCCACTTGCTAACATAGCAAATGTTTATTGAATATTTCTTGTGTGTGACCTTTGAACAAAGATCTTAGAGAACGAAGCTGCCTTTGGCGTTTGTGAAGGACTAGTCTCAGGGCTCCTTATGGTCCTCCAAATCTATGCATGCTCAAAACACTTATATAAACCGATGTTTCCAGATAGACCCTGTACGTTCTTCTGTATAGTTTAAATCATCCTCTAATTAAGCAGAATACATAGCACACTGTAAATCGTTGTTATGCCAATAGTTTGGGGGAGTGATATAAAGGAAAAATTATACTGAATCTGGTCAGTATAATTTCTTTCAAATATTTTCATTCCACAGTTGTTTGTATCTTCTTATGCCTTTCAAAGCATGCTAGGCCAAAAGGTTTAAGCTGTGTGTTATTCTCCATTTACCCTTATCAATACAATTGGTATCTGTTTTGGTTTAGCCCTGAATGCTGGAGTCTTCCCTATCAACTATGATCATGTGTGTGTGTGTGTGTGTGTGTGTGTATGTGTGTAGGGGAATGCCCAGGGTAGAGGAATGGGATGGTGGCTAGGCTCCACTGCCTCATGCTCTCCCTAGGTTCATGCTAGGTGAAGGCTGCTGAGTTCCTTTTAGATCTAGGATTGACTATAGGGATCTCTTTCAAAACTACAACTCCCATAGTGCTCTATTGATCAGCTCGGTCCGAGGACAGGGATGCAGAGGGGCGAGTTGCCCCCATCCATGTTACTCCCTATGCCCGCCCACACATCTGGAAACAGCCTCCTCATTTAACTTCCTTCTGTTAAACTCTTCAGATGAGCTATGTGCTTCTACTTGGGGCTCCTGACAAACTCAGCCTGAAGCTAATCAGGCTTGTCTTTTAACCGCACACTCAAACTAGAAAAACAAGTTAAAGAATGCCTTGGGGGTAAAAACCAAAAGGTCCAGAATTTAGGACATTTTACTGGTGTATTGTTTTCGAAGATCATCGTGATTAAAAATAAATAATCAATCAATCAATCAATCAATGTAAGAACATTCTTCTGGATTAAAATAAGCTGAGAGGGTCCACATTGTTACTTAAGGGAGTTCACAGTCACTGTGGAAACATGTGGAAGTGTTTTCAGAAAGGTTTAACAGAGCAAGGAAGACTCACCCCAAACGCAGATGCCACTGTCCCATGGGCTGGGGTTCCAGACTGAGTGGAAAGAAGGCGATTGAGTGTCAGCCCCCACCTCTCTGATTCCTGACTGAAGACCAGTGTGACCAGTGACTTCAGCCACTGCTGGGACCTCTTTCCCACGATGGACTTTACCCTGAAACTACGAGCCAAAATAAACCCTTCCTTCCTTAAGTTGATTTTGGCAAGGATTTTATTACATCTTCCAGGAAAATAACCAGTACAAATTTATATAAACGTTGTTTTTAAAAAATAGCTAAATATACATATTATAGAAATTGAAATATCTACATTTGCATATACATAATATAAATATTACATATAAACATGGAGTTTGACTCCCAGCATCCACATGAGAGCTCAAAATTCTCTATAATTCCAGTTCCAGGGGATCCAACATCTTCTTTGAGCCCCAACCCATCGGTTACATAGCCATGCATGCAGGAAGAACACCCATACACACAGGATAAAATAAAAACTACTAACAAAATAGAGGGCTAATGTGGCAAAGTTAGCAGGTGTTTAGTGTAACCAACACAGATACATCATTTACTGGGTTAAACTTTCAACTTTTGTGTATCTTTGAACACGTTCATACTTAAATTTAATGATAGAAAACATTAATAAAGAAAAGATATTTCAGACCTACTCAAGGATGATTTCTCCGTTTCCCAAATGGCTGTTGTGATGGTTTGTATATGCTTGGCCCAGGGAGTGGCACAATTAGAAGGTGTGGCCTTGTTGGAGTAGGTGTGTCACTGTGGGTGTGGGCTTTAAGACCCTCATCCTATCTGCCTGGAAGTCAGTATTCTGCTAGCAGCCTACAGATGAATATGTAGAACTCTCAGCTCCTCCTGCACCATGCCTGCCTGGATGCTGCCGTGTTCCCACCTTGATGATACTGGACTGAACCTCTGAACCTGTAAGCCAGCCCCAATCAAATGTTGTTCTTTATAAGACTTGCCTTGGTCATGGTGTCTGTTCACAGCAGTAAAACCCTGACTAAGATAGCTAGAATGTTTCCTCTTGCTCTGTTTACTTTTCCTGCATGTGAATCTCGAGACAGTATGAAGTAACAGCAGGCCAGGTCTGCGCTCTGAGGGTTTTCTTGTTTTGTTTTTGTTTGTTTGTTTGCCTATAAAAACTTGTATAAAGTTTTTTTTCTTCCATATTTAAGCTTAGCTCTTTATGGCAAACTTAGGTGTATGTGGGCAAAGGTTTGTTTTTGTTAATGGGAGAGAGACGCCTGGGAGGCTAGATGGGGCTCAGAGAAGGGCAGTTTAGACTCCATATTTGCATGATCCGAGCTGTCTTGAGGTTCCTTCCTACAAGCAAGCCAGGGTAGACAATGGCACAGAGTCGGACAAGTCACTGTATCCTGATAACTTTGCAACCTCAGAGCAGTGCCTCGGGTGCCTCCAGAAAAACTCAAGATGCATTTTATAGCTCACAGGCCGCATCCTTGCTGGAGAGAAGAGCAGGTTAAGCCTGCCTGGGGCAAAATGAATTCTGAGCGGATTGCTTCATGAGCTCCAGGTTTCCACATAAAGATAAGAGCAATTCTCTTCCTAGATAACTTTTCATACTTGGGTACCATATTATGTCATTTCCCTCCTTTCCTTGCTCTCTGCCTCCAACTTCTCTGTCCATGTCTGTTGTCTTTTATTCTTCAGGTGAGGTCACGTTACCAACAAGCTCAGCGGCGTAGCCCACTCAGTTGAGAAACACACTGGGACACAGTGTGGCTCCCAGCAGAAGGCTATCTCCCACCCAAGAGAACACACAAGAGCGAGGCAGCTCACGTTCTTCAGGGAACTTGAGGGGACCTGTCATTCTAGTCACTTGGCAGTCACTGGGACACAATCAGGTCAAGATAGCAGGGGGCTGTGGTGGTCTGTGAGCCTTCTAGAAAAATCTCTTTTCTTGACAAAATATGTGTTTGGGAACATGTCTTTCTGTCTGTAGGTATTATTGTGCCAGGATGCCAGTCAGCAATAGTCTCCTGTAAACCCACTTCCTCAAACCAAAAAGCTCCTACTGTGTGTGCCCATTGCCATCCCTGTAGTGTGCATTCTCCCACTATGGCCAAGATCACACCATGAGTAACTCAACAGCTGGCTGGCCAGACTTCTAGTGGATGAGTCCTTCTGAGGATCGTGTGGAGACTTTCCCATTCTGATCAGATCTGCTGCTGTGCCCCGAAGAGTAGGCAGCACATTTGCAATAGCAGAGCAAGAGAGAAGCCAAGAATCCTTCATGACACCTGCAGGCTGCAGGATTAATCAAACCTGGAGTCTTTGGACCTCCGGTTTTCTTGTTTTTAATAAATACACTTACGGTTGAAAGTGGGCGGAGTTGTTGCGTGATGACTCGGGACTTGATTTTGCTGACACAGGTTATCTGTGAGTTCCCACGTAGGGGAGGGAGGGAGATCTATACTAGAACCAGAAGGAACAGTGGAAAATGGAAACATTCAGTTGGCGCTCAGGAAGAGAAGAGTGACCATAGAGGAGCCTGGAGTACCATCCGGGTTGCAAAAGAACTCTGTTCTGTCTCCGAGAGGAACAGGATGGTGGCTGAGGGCCAGCCCGGCTGCTGGT